ATATAAATTATCATATTTGTGTATGTGCCCCTGCCATTCCCCCACAAGGTTGCAACATTGATGATGAATAAATTACAAATAAAGCTTCGCCAGTTTATAACCGATGAAACATGATGGTATCAGAATAATCACTTACATGTGATGTATAGGATGCTACGGTCACTAAAGATAAAATGTCAGGAGAAATAAGCAAGATACAGGATCTGTTTAATCGCCATGTAGGTTCTCTTTATTGCACTCTCAAGACATAACAGTAAATAGAAGTTCACATTTTTAATGTAAATAAAATAGAAGTTGTACATGTAAGTTAACATTATCAATATAAAATAAAGTGTCAGTTGTATCAAGACTATATAATAACAGTAATAACAATAATATAAAATAAACTGTCCCAGGTGTAGGGATAGGCTCAGCAGCATACACACCTTAGTGCAAAGTTGTGTGTCAGTATTAATAAAAACAATACAAAATGAACTGTCCCAGGTGTAGGGATAGGCTCAGCAGCATACACACCTTAGTGCAAAGTTGTGTGTCAGTATTAATAAAAACAATACAAAATGAACTGTCCCAGGTGTAGGGATAGGCTCAGCAGCAGACATTGTTAACAGTGGCAACTATAGGGAGCTGGGAAAGCACTTCCAGAAACCCATTCTGAAAAGTGGTTTGTCGCTCATCCTGGCGCTGCGCCGACACTTCATCCTGGTGCTCCATCTGCCGCTTCAACACTTCAGCCTGGCACTCCATCATCGTGAGCATCTTGTCCTCCGTTTCCTGGGCCTTGGTGAACAGCACCATCTGATCCCCGTGCATCGACTCTTTCACCACGGCACGCCGGTCCTCCAACGCCTCGACGGTGTCAAAGAAATTCACATCCCGTGCCCGCTTTCCTAAGAGGGAAAATAAGCAAGATACAAGATCTGTTTAGTCGCCATGTAGTTTTACAACATACTAGGAATGTGTTTACTAGTCAACATTGGACAGGGTGCAGGCCGGGACAAGACAGTGTACACAATGCAGGTGTATAGTAGAAGATAATATAGGATCAAATAGCATAAAATATATATATATATATATATATATATATACACACACACACTGAGTGTGTGTGTGTATATTAGGGCTGTGAAGTTAACGCGTTAATAACGCAAACAAAAATTAACGCCACTAATTATTTTAACGCGATTAACGCATGTGTATTTTTTGTCCTCGGCCGCCCCGTAGTTTCAGAGCGCATCGAGTTTAAAATACCATCTACAAGCTGATGCTGACAGCCCCGCTCCTGCCGCCCGCTTGTGGCAGACCACACTTCCACGCTCACCGGCAGGCCCGGACTGGCCATCGGGAGGACCGGGAGGGTGTGTGTATGTGTGGCAGGAGCGAGGCACACCTTACGTGTTGTTGTTGTTGTTAGCATCTGGTGCTAGCTAGCTGCGCTAACGGATATAAGGAGCTGTTTCAATGAAAACAGAGGAGCGACATTTCGCCGACAACTGCGCCGAGCACTTGACTTGATGCAGGTAGCCAGACAGTGGGACATTGTACGAAAAGTCAGCACACTCAGCACGGATAGTGCGCGCAACATGATTGCAGCGTCCACGCAGCTCCCGTTGGAGCGTATATGCCTTGAGCTGCACATAGCTCCAACGATCCATCACAGTGTCTCCACATTCTCACACACTCACACACACACACACACACACACACACACACACACACACACACACACACACACACACACACACACACACACACACACACACACACACACACACACACACACACACACACACACACTTTGTATTGTATTATTGTATGAGAGAGGTTCCAGGTTGAATTGAGGCGAATATTTGTAATGTTCAGAGGTTGTTGTGATTAATATTCATGAGAATATTTGTCATTGTTCAAATGATAATAAACAAACATATAAAGCATATTTGTCCACTCATATGTTGATAAGAGTATTAAAAACTTGAAAAATATCCCTCTAAGGTACATTTAGAACAGATACAAAATGTGCGATTAATTTGCGATTAATCGCGATTAACTATGGACAATCATGCGATTAATCGCGATTAAATATATTAATCGACTGACAGCCCTAGTGTATATATATATATATATATATATATATATATATATATATATACACACACTGAGTGTGTGTGTGTGTGTGTGTAGCTGCCGCTCAAAGTGCCCTTATTTATTGTTTTGTATTTTTGAAGAGTGCTTCATGTATGCTTGAACTTTGTTTAATGTTGTTGAGGCAAGTTTTCTTACCGGAAGCCATGTGACTTGTGAGAAAATAAAAACGGCGCGAAAATTTGTAAACGCCGGTCGGCGAATACGTTTTCACGCTGTTTCATAATTGTATCAAGAAGGAAATAAACGTGATTGTGAACATCAGTTCGATGCGTAACGTTCTTTCAAGTCCAAGTTACAGTGTGTGTACCTTTGCGTTTGGTTGCTGGTAAGGGGGACGAGCAAGCGCTGTGATCTGGAAGGGAAAGCTCACTTGTTTCCAATCAAATAAAATGGCGGCTCTACAAAACATTTTTACGGGGCGCGGTTTGCAATTCGCCCAGCCAATCAGAACTGGGGCACTTTTTCCCCCCAGGAAAGTACGATCTCTCAGCAGGCACTAAAAATGGGGGTAAAAGTTCCCGAGATTAAGTGCTCATTTTGGTGTGAACGCGACATAAGGGGTACTAACGGAACTAAACGCGAAAAGTACGGTGAAAAGTACTCCGGTGTGAACGCGGCTAATGCAACAGTTTCGTAACGACTGTACTTCACATGCTGGATCCTCCACAGTAGAGTAAGACCTGTCACAGACTCCTTTATTCTTTAGTCATGGTTCACTTATGCTCTTATGTATTTACGAGTCCCTCATTATGAAATCATCCTTCTGGTTTTCTATCTATCCATCAACATAAATCATGTTTCAGTGTCGAGGCAATTTGTTAAAGCTTTAAGGAGGAGCGAACCCCACTGGTTATGTTCATCTTGGACCAGCGAACTTCCCAGTGAAAAAAAACGTGTAAATTATGGGAAAACACAAGGTGCTATATCCATGTAGAGGTGCTGAATTTAAAAATGTTGTGATGTACAAGTCTTTTTATTTTGTATTTGATGTTTGCTTTGCTTAAGTCTGACGCATTTTGATCAGGTCATTTCTAACGGTACTTCTTGTTAAAAGTACCCAAAGACTGTAAACCTAAAGGCCAACATGTGCAACTGGTCAAAAATATTCTTAATTGGTAAACTAATTAATGATAACCATTGCCATATAAACTCCTCGGCCCCAGCACTCTCACTCAAATTGAGTAAGGTCAACAACGGGCAAGAATTTCAGTAAGTTTCCATTCAAGTGGGATGGCATCACCCCTCAAATCAGATTCTGTCTTACTGTATGTATCGATTCTTTCTTGAGTTTGGTATTTACTTGATTGAACTGGTAAATACTGGTTCAAGGGAAAAGCCACAGCCTGGCACTCACCACATGACACACAAATGTTTTTGACAAAGAGAATGACACACAGTTTCTCAGAATACCTCTGCGTGTGGTTTAAACAATCAGGTCACCATCTCGTGATGCATCTTGATGTATCTAATGTTATTGCCAAGAGATATCAGGGTATAACAGCATGACATCCAAACCCAAACAAACCCAAAACTACACGACAACAATCACACGTTGCTTTCCTCTTTAACGTTTCAGGTACGTCAATTGAGCCCAGACTTTAGCTTTAGCTCAATCACCCTGTTCTCCCAACAACAGGTTGTTAATAACTAATAAATCACAGTGAGTCACAGCCAGAGAAACTACTCTGCATGTGAGTTTGGTTCTTCGATTTTCTCTACAGAACATATCTTGTCTTATCTCTTTTTTCTTGCCAGATTGGCTGGCAGTCCCACCGGTCCTGAACACACACTTATAAACCATAAACTCACAATCAGCCATTGTTCCATGTTTCACTTGGAGCAGATGACAATTGTTATCAGACTCCAAACCCACGGCTTCAGCCAAAACACATTAGGGTTCTTTGAAATGAGGCGAGGGTCCCTTCTAGTCACACAGAGAGGACCTTCGGGTTGTAAAGTATGGCCTTAAATTGTTTCAACACAAACAACACAATTTGACGGTGTGTGTGGAGGTCAGTGGGAGGACTCAAACTTCTTAACACAGTTGTACCTGCTTCACACTGACACACTGTGATGTTGAACACCGGGGTTGGAAGAGGAGGTGATTTTCCCAACCAGTCATGTAATCCAACATATTGTCTTTCTTGTTGTAAAAGCTTTCTAGTATCTCCACTTTGACTCAATGTCATTTTAGGCCAAACACACATTCAGCAATGTGTTCAGAGAGTATTATTCTTCATATAAATAAAAATACTTCTTTCAATCTTTGAGCTTTTCCAGGGTGGCTAATAATGTTTTTCTGTAGTGTGTCAGCTCAAAACAGATAGGTGTGTTTGTTTTGTTAAACCAACTATAAAAGCTAAGTATAAAATGACAGAACATGAGCAACAGTTTCTTGTGGTTAGTGTTTTTGCAGGAAGTTCAATGTCAGTTATATCCTGTTGGCTTAATATAGCAAGACCGATGCAATGCTGCAAAACACTCATACACAGCGGGGGGAGGGTTATGATTACTATAATTTTCTACTTACCAATGTACTCGTTAAAAGCAGCTCCTGTTTAAAAAAGTCCCCAACTTCTCTTTCACAGATAAAAAAACATGAGTCATTTTATTACCCTGTGATACTTTTTACTTTAGGGACCAGTCAGATTTCTGATGATGATTTTCTTAATCAACCAAATGAGGAATATTCTAAGTTTCTGACATGTTGTGTTTATATCAGGGACTTCCTGATAATGAAAGTGTATTTGTCTGTGTCTCTCTTTCTCACAACTTATTTCCTGTCTACTGTGAAAGCAAAAAAGCAAAATATAATGAGGAAGGAGCTTTGATTACTAAGCGGAAGAAAAAGAGGAAGGGCGGAGAGAAAGCTGGGGGTAGAAAGATTTAAGGTAAGGTACGACAGTAATTGGAAAACACAACACTCGTACCAACGAACTGTAGAGACAGACCAGTTTAATAATCGGACGGAGGATCTCAGCATCGGACAGCAGCACCATGAAGAGGTTTCTGCTGCTCTTCCTCTCACTGATGACAGGTACAAAGATTACTTGTACCCGATAGCTGATTGTGATAAAATAAACAGTTTTCAAGATATTCTGCATCAAGTTTGAGCTAATTGTTTTAGTTTAATGAACATAAGTAGATCATATTTATCGATATGAGTATTGCCAGTTCTGCACAACCCTCACAATATTTTCACATTTGTACACAAGCTACCTTTCATCCACTTTACATAACAATACTAGTTTATTTTTTATTTTATCGTATTATTCAAAGTACTTTGCAATAGTATACTGTACGTCGTACTTTTGTATATCAACATTTCATGTAAACATTTTTCAGATGTGTGATTTACTAATTAATCCTGAAATCCTGATTTAGTTTGAGAATCTGACATGAACGTTTCTCTCTCTCTATAGGCTGTGAGGCCAGCTCTAAGGTGAAGGGATGCAGAGGTGGATGGGTTACTTTTACCCGTGGATACCCTGAGACAAAGAAAATATATACAAGTATTAATGTAGATTGGGATAATGATGAGGACAAACATGGAAATCGAAAAATTATTGAAACCGAGGAAAAAAACGTGTGTAAAAGCAAAGGAAGATTTTCCGTGTACCATGATAATCAAAGTAAAGATCTCAGGGTGGGCATCAAAGATATTCAACAAGAAGATTTTGGGGAGTACAAGTTGAAATTTAGAACTGACAACAATCGTAATAATGAAGACAAAGAAGAAGTGGAATTGAAATTAGGTAAGAAATGCTCCATCTCCATCTTGAGTCTCTCTTGTCCTTTCTGGAAGCACTCTGTAACCACACCCTCAACAAACTATGTATAATGCATGCAAACAAAAAATCATCAACTGCAAATCGAGTCAGACAAAATGGAAATCAGTTTGCTATGAAGCACACGTTAACGCAGTGGTTCTCAAATGGGGGTACGCGGACCCCTAGGGGTACGTTGGAGTACTGCAGAGGGTACGTGAGATTTATTTTATGTTAAAGGGCCCATGTCATGGCCATTTCCACTGATCATAATTACATTGTTGAGGTATACTAAAATAGATTTATACGGTGCAATTTTCCAAACTCACATTGGTTTCGCATACAGCATCTCTGTCAAGCATGTGTATTCAGCAGTATTCACTTTCTCCACTAAACGACTCGTTGGAGCTCTTGCCCCCCCCTCCCTGTGAGCCTAGTGTGCTCCGATTGGTCAGCTCGGCCACTCGTTCTGATTAGTCAACCACCAGAGAGGCTGCGCCCATGTCTAACAGTGCTTTTCCCGGCTGCTCTCAGCGTAACATCAGTCTTATCATGGCGTCGGCACAGCCGTATATTTTATATACATATATATTTTTAACTGTTGTTATAGAAGAGTGTGACGGCCCCAGGGCCTTTGTCTTACGATGGGGTGGAGCTGAAGAGGCTAATCAGCACGATCACGGACACCTCCGGACACAGTCTCTCTCCAAAGCGGCTGCAGGAAGACTAACTCTGCGATCCTCTCAACCACCTATCTTTGCATTTACCACAATAAATGTGCCGTGGTTTTGTAAACTCGTGTATGTCTCCTTGTCTTTCCGTTGTGGCCTACGAGCTACTCTCATAACAAAGAGTAAGTTATTTTTACCCGTTATAAACTACTACTGTTTGATGAGAAATCAAATCATGGTTTGCTATATATGAATTCAGGGAAGAAAGGATAGGCCTACTAAGTATTTCCATTCAACTTTATTTTTAGAAATGTACAAAATGAACATAAATATACATATATACACACGGTATATCATTCATTCCTCCTCCTCGCATCTTGCCTGCGCACAGTCGGTGCGGTGCCTTTTAGCACCCTCAGTAGTAGTAGAATCCCTTCCCCGTCATGGATTGTCCGCCAGGATCTGGCTGGACGAAATCAAATGCAAATCACAAAATATTAGAGAAACTTAGTTGTTTTAGATTAGTTAGTAGTAGTTGTGTAATGAACAGCTTGCCTGCTAATATGCTAACCTAGCTTTGTTTACCTTGGTAGGTAACACGATATGAACGTTAGCTTGGAGGAAAGGCAACTATAATGCAGTGTAATAAAACTACTATGAACAAAAGCTAGTGGTTCATATTAGGCTAGCAATAACGTGTTTATAATTGCAATCGTATACGGGTATTCTGCTACCATACAATGTAACTTGCATGAATACATTGTTTTGCGCTAGCATACAGCTAGCCTCGTTAGCTACATGCAGTATATGTACGGTCACAATGTACGGTAAATCACAGTACAGTATACTGTATGAGTATTCCGTGTGTGTGAATGCAGACATTCTCCTGCTATGAGATACATGTATGCAAGGCCATCTGCTGATATTAGAGTTGATATATGGAAACTCTAGCAACTTAGTTAGCACAGTTAGCACTGTGTCAATGGCTTAGCAGTCCAACACAGTTTACACATTTAAACAGTCTTGTTTGATAAATACACAAATAACAATGCAAACTTACAGGTTGTATACCCAGATCTTCCCCTGCTCCAAACGGTCCAAACAAGCTGTGCATATCCGGCCTCAAACTGGGCAATGTTTTGGAAGCTTTCGTCTGTGAAATTCCGGTTCTTCGAACCTCTGGAGGAGGAACACGCCGCTGCTGGTGTGGCCATAGCTCTTCGGGATTGGTCCATTTCGTTCCGGGTACCGCATGACATCAGGCGGTACCCGGAACTAAATGGAAGACTCAAATGGGCAGTGACGTATCTCCAACGAGGCGTTTTGGGGAGGTATTTTCTGTGTTAGAGTTTTACTCGCTACAGGGTGTACTTTGAGGGTTTTGACTCTGCACACCGTTTACATGCATAAAAACCTTCATAACACACAAGGGGACGGGTAATAACCGGAAAAGCATGACATGGGAGCTTTAATGAAAAAAACAAAATAAGTAATGCATTTAAACAAACTACTAATAGTAGATTAAATACGTTATTCAAAAGTTTACAGTAATTCTGGATAACAAAATGAGAAAAATAAACGGGGTGCTCTCTTTTCCTCTCTCTCTCCTGACAGCCCGTCAGTCTCGTGCAGCTCGCTGAACCTGTAATAAGTGACCCGACAGTAAAGAATAAATATATTTATAACTAGTTTAGCTAGTTCCAGAGCAGATAAACTAACTAAGTGTGTTAGGTCTAACTCCCCGTTAGTAGTACGTGAGGCCATATGTACAGACATGTACATGGGACATGAAAACAGTGCATGCCGCGTTTCCACTATACGGCCTCGCTCGGCCCCGCTCGGTATGGCTGGGCCGCGATTGGCCTCGTTAGGACCAGCTCACTTTATGGCGCGTTTCCATTACAGTTTAGGAACTGGGGTAGTATCTATAGTAACGCAGTATAGGCGGAGCGACGCTGCTTAAAACTGCCGTGACGTCATCTTCAATGCGACACAACAATGGAGGATGTGAAGATGTGAAGATGTGAAAGCGATCGTTTGCTTGTTTTTTGCTGTGTGGTTTATTATCACAAGAAATAGACAAGAGTTGTTTCGAAAGAGGCGACGTATAGAAGAAGCTGACGCGAGAGTTCGGGCAGTCCTCCTACGCCGCAGAGACTACAGGACGACTCGAATCACTACTAACTACAATGCTACTTGGTAAGCTAACGTTCGCTAACTAGCAATGTGTTTAGGCTCACGCTCCCTATACGACCAAAGTATTTCAAGTATTTAATTAATTGTAGCTACCACTTTTACGTATTAAAATATGTATGCTTTTGTTTGTGTATTTCAGAAGTTACCGACCGAGCTACCGAGTGGTGGAATGTGATTGTTCCATCTTTCACACACTCAGTGGGTGGAGAACTTCAGGATGCCTGAGGAAAACCTACGTTCATTACATGAATTCAAAAGAGGGCATTATGAACAGAAAACAGCGAAGTTGTCATTCAGGAATTAAGGTGTTTAAAAATGTGTAAAACTGATGTGTTTTTTCATGTTTGCAAAATGTAATACATGTTTATTCATTGATAAAAGCAATACATACTGAGGACATTGTGAGAAAGCGACATTTGTGTATAAAATGAAAAGGCGGAATTGTATAATATATGTTAAAAACCGGAATGTTTTGCTCGTTATAAGTTAGTCAACATTACATTACATGTTACTTGGGTCTGATGCGCTACCTGAATACCTAGAATGTATAATGTAATACCTAAATATTCATTGTATTGAACATAAATACATCTTTTCTTTTTCACATACATGTGTTTGTCAAATTATTTAAACCAAAAAAATGTTATCAGAATTGACTATTTAGTAAATATTTGAATTTCAAGCACCAGTACTGCCCCCATAATAATAATAATCTAATAAATTAAGCAAATATCAAAGCAAACTATAAACATAAATACAAAAGTGTAAAACACAACAGAACTATATTCATAAATGCAAGTGTAAAAAATTGTTAACATGGATGGAGGCTAAAGTATCCACAGCATAAAATAATATGATTATGATGGTTTGTCTGAAAGACACAGCCTCAAGGTTCAAGGTTTTTTATTTTGTCATACGAACATAGCTAGTGTAGTTATGACAATGAACATCTTAGGTCACAGGCTCCTCCAACAGTGCAACACAATAACCCAGATCAACAGAAATATAGTGCAAGTAAATATTAAGCGCTGTGCACCGCTCTCTTTGTATAGGTGTTTTATTTTGTTCTCTTCTCTTTGAAATATATAAGCAATGTGTTTGAGTCTAGCACAACGAGGGTATTACAATTGAGTAATTTTTACTACATGTATTTATCATGTATTCTTAATACCATTATGTAATGTTATGTTTTAGAGGAGGACCTCAAGCTAGCAAACTCAATTTCAAACAGTATGCAGAGTTGTCCTGCTAAAGAGTTAAAATGTATTATTTAACCAAGTATTTATTCTCTTATTTGCTTTAATTGCAACAGATGATAAAGGTTTCACTGTGATAAATATTCTCTTAAATCCATAAACCCCTGTACAGTGCTTTGTGGACGATGGTGTTTATGATATTTCTGACTGCAGAGGGACGCCTAGATGATGCCATCTTTCTGTGTGATCGCTGGTGGGTGCAATTATTTATCAACAAGCAATAAGATAAGACATGGCATTGATTCTGCTGGGCCAGTTGCCGTTCCTGCAGGGCCAGATCGTCTCCTCCTCGGTTTGTGCTGTTGATGCAGAGGACGTTGTTCGGAACTGTTCCTCCTCGCTAGTCCCAATGTAATCATCTAGAACAGAAACATGACTTGTAAATTCCACAAACTACTGCAGCACAATACTATAAATAGCAACAACAACTATAGAAAAGACAAACTGAACGTAAACAATGGCACATATGGTGTTAGCAAACAATAGCTCTCGCTAATGCTATCTGCCTAGCTAGCCTTCGGGGCTCCATAAAAGCATGGGTTGTCGAACATAAATGTAAGGATAAAATAGACTTATTTGTTAGAAGTGAGCTTTAGAACAGATAGGGACACAAAGCAGGGACACAAAGCTTTCAAGCAAATAACAGAGCGTTAGCAAAAACGTACCATGCAGACTCCAGTAACGCCAGTGTCTGTGTAGAGACCTCCTGAAAGACTTTGATATTGCGAGTTGTCCCGTCGAGCACCCGCTGGACCTTATCATCTGCAATATAATGGACGTCGTCACTTCCTCGACCGACCATGGTGTGCTTTTCTTTGCCATTGTTGTAGCTCCTCTGTTAACAAAAATGCTGTTTGTAAAAATG